TTTCATGATATATTTATTATTACTATCAAACTATACATTTTAAATGATGGAATGTTTTCATGTCATATATACACTTTAAGCCATTCAGATGTGATATAATTACCCAAAACTGTCTTTTTTAGGAATTTTATTAATTCATTTGATCGCTTAATTAATGGTAACAGGGCAATAATTATAAAAATAAAAGACTCTAGTATATACAAAGTATTAAAATAACTATTATGAATATCACGTTCTAATTGGTTTGGTGCGCGTGCTATATGAGAGCACATTGCACGCACGCTCACTTTCCAATTCGTCATTCCTATCTAAAATAACAGTTATTGTAATTTGTATTTTATAAAAGAAATAAAAACTTGCTTGTTGTGCTGTGTGCTGTTGTAAAGCACTTGGGGATTGGCAGAACACTCAAGAAGTGTCCAAAAGCTCTCCGCTACACTCATGTTCTGGCAACCTCTACATGCTTTATTGCTGCACACAGCATGCACGCACGTTTTCTTCAATAACCTGTACATATCCCAGACAATTAGGATGATTGTCACTGATAGGGTTTCTTTAACTTCTCATTGGTTTAGTGTGGAGAGAAGGGAGTTGCCATTTAATGTGGTGACATATCCTAGCCACACGATATTGACCCTGATTGTTGGTCCAGCAAGGAAAATCTGATGATCAACGAAAAATACAAATATGCAAATGCAGCAATGGGATTAGCTCCTTTTCTCATGAATAATTAATGAGAGTATGAGAAGGAACTTTCTGATCCATTTGTTTTCCAACCCGGTATTTGTTTTTTTCGGGTAAATAGTAAGCAAACCCTGGTATAAATATCTCATCTTTTTGGTGTTTGATGACATAAAGGGTACTTCATGACCAGCCGACACATGTCGGTTGACTATTGCCTGACTATTGGTCAACAGTCGCCCAACAAGCGATGTTTGGCCAAGTCGCATGGTTGACAGTTTTGGTGAAGTGCAGTCAAGTATTGGGCAAGTGTTGGTCAACAGCCGGGCGACTGTCAACCAACAGCTGGGCAATAGTCAACTGACACAGTTGGTTGGTCATGAAGTACACAATTACCCACATAAAGATTGGTAGGTAACTTTTTTAAAACAAAAAAATATCATTTTCTTCTCCATCGCAAATGAACCCTGGTTTGTGGACGTGAGGCTAACATGAAAATACAAAGGAAAGCACACTTTTTCTCGATGGAATTTGTGGCATTTTTTCTTTTGTATTTCCATGCTAGTCCCACATTCACAGCCATGCTTTGTTTGGGTTTTTGTTTGTTTTGAAGCAGGAAGCACCTTTTTTAGTTTCTCTCAAAGCATGAAATATGTGCTTTTATAACTTCAAAATGTATTATATTTTCAGGATAAGAAAGATGAAAAGAAGATTACAGATTTCCTCATAGCGGTAATTTTACTTCAAGATATAGCAAAGTCACATTAGTACATATTACAAAACAGAATTTATTTATGGATTGATTATACACTAATTTGATCCGGTTTCAATGTTTTGAGGATTTTTAGAAAATCTTGTTAAATTAAATTATCATTTTAATTTCTTTTAACGATTTTGCCTCGTTGTTGAACTGGCAGAGTAACAAGAAGTGGAAAGAAGAGCTAAACTTGGCAAATAAGAGGGCATTTGAGGTAAGTATCTGCAATACAGTTGGATTTAAAGCAGT